AATAACAATAGATGTTATAATAGATGTCTATAAACAGAATGTGTCGTGTCGTAAATAGGAAACGTTGACAAACTTAGAGAATATAAGACGTAGTTTATTCTGGAGAATAATATGGTACACGGTTGAGAACACAGACGAATGTAATAAACAGTTACTCGTTAACTTGTCGGTATTTACCAGAGACCTCCTCACAAGGCGGGATGTAGTTCAAGGGCGGGTTTTTTTTTTACGTAGGGTTTTCCGTAAACCCCGCACACATGAGGTCGAGTGAGTGTCTACTTCCCCAGACGAGATTCTGCCTATCGGCATAGCCTCCTTTGGGTTCCTCTCCGTCCGGAGAAAGAGAGTCGACAAGCAGTATTAAATGTAATCGTTAAATCCTCGGTATTTACCCGATACCTCCCCCACAAGGCGGGATGTGGCACAAGGCCGGATATGACAAAATTTCCCCGTAGACTCCGTATTCACGGAGTTTGGTAGCTGTCTAATTCCTCAGATGATACTTTGCCCTTCGGCATAGCCTTGTTTGGGTTCCTCTCCGCTCAGAGGCAGAGAGTCGACAAGCAGATTTAACTGTAATCGTTAACTACTAGATATTTACCCGAGACCTCCCCACAAGGCGGGATGTGGCACAAAGTCTATTTTTATGTGGGGATTTCCAAGCCCGTAGGCTCGGGTATAAATTACCCGTAAACACCGTATACACGGGATTGGGTAGCTGTCTACCCCCCCCCCCCAGACGTTAATTACTCTCCCTCGGTAAGAAAGAGTGCTCTTTAAATAGTCTTTAACGAATTCACCCTGTGAGGGTGTTCAGCTACTCCACAACAGTTACAATTTTTCATCCTCTGTCAAAAAATTCTCCAGATATTTAACCTTATGTAGTCGTTTGATTTTGACATCCCCAATACGTTTTGCGCAGTCGAATCAATTGGTTACTGTTCTAACGACTCGACACGCGTCCATCATATTTTCATTTATTAAACTAAGACGAAATAATTGAAGAAAAGGTTATTAACACTCTTGACTTACCTGAAGTATACGCCTGACGTGTGGTCGAGTGGTGAGAACGTTAATCGAATGGTTCGAATCTTACCATAGTCGATTAGCAGGTGGTTTCTTTTTAATATAGGCATGAGGAATCGTTCCCAGTGTGCAGCATCGTTGGGAAATACCTGAGAACTGTACCACCAGTCGACTCAAATCTTGTAAATAAAATTATGTAGGCTTTAAAGATTGTGCTCGCATCAGTTAAAAGTTAAAAGTCTTCGGGACTAAAAGTCATGCTGGCCTTGTTCAAATACTCATTATGTCAGTGAGTATCTGTAACGCATAGTGTTATGGTCCGGTTCCTTGTACCACGGTGATAGTCCAAAGTAGAACCAATAAAGGAAAACTCGAATACGGATATGGAATAACATAGCTATATTACAAACAGGAATATATACAAAGAAGTAGAAAAGTGTTAGTACGAACAATCAGGTTTAGGAGTAATTGTTTGAACACGACTCTGTTTCGGACAGCCTCTGACTCGACTGACTGACTCGCTCGCTCTGACTGACTGACAGACTCCTGACGGACTTCTGACGGACCTCACTCCAGACTTCAGACGGAACTCTAGAATTCAAACGGAACTCACTCCAGACTTCAGACTGAACTCCAGACTTCAGACGGAACGGTATTTAATCACCCCACCCCACGAAGGCATCATGTGGCACAAGGCCGGTTTAACGTGGGATCTCCGAGCCCGTGGGCTCGGCCAAAAATATGCCCTTTGAACCCGTATAAACGGGTTCACGGTCGGTTTACCTGCCAGAACGAGACTCCGCCCTTCGGCGTAGCCTCGTTTGGGTCCCTCCTCGCCCGAAGGCAGAGAGTTCAACCGATCAGCCGGTCGCCCGACTTTGGGCTGAACGGTATTTAGTCACCCCACCCCACGAGGGCATTATGTAGCACAAGGCCGGTTTAACGTGGGATCTCCGAGCCCGTGATAATGGCCAAAAATATGCCCTTTGAACCCGTACAAACGGGTTCATGGTCGGTTTACCTCTCCGAAAGAGACTCCGCCCTTTGGTATAGCCTCGTTCGGGTTCCTCCCCGCCCGAAGGGAGAGAGTTCAGCCGATCACCCGATCCGCCGGTCGCCCGACTTCAGGCTGAACTCTCTACTTCATCTTGAGGCGCAGTATTTATTACGTCCATTATGTTATGGGTAAAGTCCCATAGCCAATCATCTTTCCCTTTCTAAGTTAACCAGACATAACATTTTACCACCTAGAATAGAATACTCCTCTACGAATGATATTTTTTGGAGGTCAAAAAACATCCCAACACCTTCAATAACTCAACCACACATAGCTTATATTATTACTTGACGTTTTGCAGATATTCATATAAAACCTGACTTGCCGTCCGATCATGCAAAAATACACAGAAACTTTGACATGGTAATCTCGATGACTTCGTCGATTATCTTAGCCTAATATTTAATAATTTCACAGAGTTTATTTTAGTTTATGAAATTCGCTTCTTTGAAGACGACCTAGAATTTCTTTGGATTTTACCAATTTCATGAAAATTATCAATAATATTTCTTGCTTGGTTTCTTTTTCAAAATTCTGAGTTTTTAGCAAATTTATTTCTCAGATAATTATTACTTCCGAGTTTTGATGATTTTAGCGGTTTTCAACCACTTTTTTCTTTTTTATTTGAAAACAGTACGTGAATTCATTAAAATTAATGAGCTTGTTCGAATTTCCTAGATGAAGAAATTTTATTACTAATTTTGATTTCATTTTGAATGCTGTTTTTTTTTTATAATCGTTACTTTTTATTTTATGATATGGCTGCTGAATTATATATAAGGAAGCAGTTCTGTAGTCACAAAAAAATTTGGACTGATAATGATTTTTTAAAATATTATAAAGAATGTTTAATCAAAAATGTAAATGTAATGTCAGTCGTTATTTTCTGTGTTTTTGGTTCTTGTTCTTTTATCTTCCTCTCTCCTTAACAGTGATTTCTTCTTTTTTTTTAACAATACTCTCTGACACTCAGTAACCCCTTGCATTTCAGTGGCTTTATTGCCTTCCTTAGGGTTAAATGATTAAAAAAATATATACCAAAAAATCGAAGAAGGTCGTAGAATGTATTGGCTGGAACTGTGTGACAATATAACAGCATAAAATATGAGTAAATAGTCTTTAAAAAAAGTCTAGAACGATAATACATCTCCAATTGTAAAAATGACCATTAATTTGGTGGTTGGTTTGCTCTGTATCTTATATGCGAGTGGTGAAGAGACAGATTAAAATTCTAGGTCCTATAAAGAGGAATGGTATGGAAAATTGAATACTCAAAGAGCAGATTGACGGCAAGGGAAACAGAGAAAAACAATGAATAACCTACATAGCGAATTATGGGTGGCGGAATAAAATTTAGGAGAGATAAGAAAAACACAAAATTTGGTAAAAACTACAAAGGATGGAAAATTGTGGAGAGCCAACGTCCTGAAGGTACACGGCACATTGAAGAAGAAAAAGAAGAAGAGCGAGAAGATGTGCTTTCGTCTCCATCTTAGATTAAATAAGGTAATAGCGTGTTCGCATGCGTAAAGCTAATATAAGATTTTTATGAGTTTCTCGAACGACAAAGTAAACAATACGTTCGTTCTGTTTTTTCTTCAGAGTCATCTTCACCATGTCTTCTTTAATCACTGCCTCTATCCATTATGCTGACACATTTTTACGGCTGAGTATTTCTTACATTTTAGCATCTATATTTTCGGCTAGCTACATTTGGTTTTCTTTAGAAGTTGGCATCTATTTTTTTTCTTTTCATTTTTCTTCTTGCCGTTTTCTCTGCTAATGGCTAATATCTATGTGGAATAATTTGAAGATTTTCCTGAAAATAGTACGAAACGTTTTAACTGGTTCCTCAAGGATAGACATGCAACTTTGATATCCTGCTTGTCTCTGATGCAGATATGTCATGATAAACTTTTATGAACATATACATGAGGTTCAGTGAATTGTATGCATCGAGGTTTTTGAATAGATAATTTGTAGCGTGTATGCAAGGCGTAAAGTAAATATAAAACTGTTTAGTGAGTTTATCGAAACGAAGAAAAAACAAACACCGAATCGTTCAATAAATTTTTTCCTTCCACTCATCTTTTAGTCTACTGTCGCTCCCAAATTAACCACCTTTTCATTATACCACAAGATTTTAGATTTTTTACTACATTTCAGCCGACCTGACATTCGACCTTCTTTAGATATATATTTTGTCTCTTAATAATTTTGAGTTGTTTACTTCAAATTTGACTTTTGCGCTATTTGCACCCTGACATTTTTTAAACGTGATATTTAGTAGAGTTTTACTTAGAATGGCACAATGCGAAATGATTGAAGAATATGGACAGAGAGAGAGAGAGAGTGAGAGAGAGTCTTCTGCGCCGATATTAAAATAGCAAAAGATTGATTGCCTAGAAAATCAGCATTCGAAACCTGTTTTTAAATATACACAAACGTCGACCGTCTAAATTCGCAACTATCCCAGCCACGAGCTTGGTCTTATGAGTTTAAACTGTCGTGAAACTTGTAATGTTGCATGTCTTCGAAGCAGACGATAACCTTCCCAGATAATGTAGGAACGAATGCCTCATTTAATGGGCTGAACCAGGCTGTGCTTGTGAATAAATGAAAGCATATTCAATCAGTATATTTCCTTCCAGTTTGATTTATTTTAGTATTGTTACTTATTGCATATATTTTCATTTTCTAGCCATTTGTCAGACCAAGGTCATTATCTTTCCAGTAATGATTTCTGTGAAATAAATCTGAGGATTTCATTTGAGAAAGAAATGTGCAGCATTTAACAGTATTTATGAACCCCTACATTTCAACAGGGAATTTTAAGAGAAGAATAGTTGGAGGATGCACGAAATAATAATTAAACTTCATACATGTTCCACATTTAACTCAGTTAAGAGAAAGAGGCTTACGGCTATATCACGTTGAAACATCGGTTCTGGTAGGATCACCGAAGTTAAGCAACATCGAGCCTAGTTAGTAATTAAATGGCTGACCGCTTGAGAATACCAGGTTATGTAAGTTTTGACATGCGGGTGGTGTAATGGAAAATGGCTCGGAATTAGAAATTGGAGAGTTCAAATTCCAGTCGGACATACACTTACACGCAAATAAGGTTGGGAAAGGTATGTATCCACATTTTCCATCCCACTATGGATTGATTACTAGGGGCTGTATCAGTAAATCATTATGATCTTCAAAACCCTCATGCAATATAAAAATATTTTCTGGCTTTAAATAACCTGAAGAAAGTTGATACGCTGTAAAAAACAAATCAAAACAAGATTGATTTCGTATATTTAAAATTTATAAATTATATATAACAAATTTAATTTATTCAGAGTACGTAAGTACATATATAAATCACAATTATTAGTGGAATTCTCCGAGGTATTTATAACACTATTGGACTCTGAGCAATAACAATATATAATTACTCTCCAAGATTAACAGAAGAATCATGATGAAATCGATCATAAACGAAAATGATATGTTCATCATTAATTAATCATACCTAAGGATCGTAAGTTTATGAAGGATTGATATAAAGTTCATATATATATATATATATATATATATATATATATATATATATATATATATATTCCAGGATCATTTTCCAACTTATTCAACATGATCTACGCCCCTCTAACATTCTAAATTCTCTCCTGGAGTAACAAGGTGCCTCACAGGTTTCACGTACGATTTCATTTTCAGGTCTTTTTTGCACCGCTCTTTGGACTGTCATAGCGGATACTCCACTCTCACGTACCAAACGTCTTGTAGATTGAGTTGGATCTTTTCTAATTGATCTATTTAGCTCTAAGTGGAGATGATGATCCATCTTCCTGTTGTGACCTCCTGATCCAGTTTTCCTCTCTACTGTTCTCTCTTTTTAAACTTATTCACCGTTCTTGAATTAAATTTTAGATGGAAGCCAAAGCATGAATGTTGGTACCATCACTAAAATGAATTAATGATCTTTTTCCTCATACCACTGCTCAGTTAAGAAAATAGAGGAGCTGACACAAAACCATTTTAAACTGTTCCCTTCCAGCTGAATAACTCAAAGAGTCTTCCAATAAATCTCATGTTTAATGCTGTTACGATAGCTAAATATCTTATCTGAAAACCTGGAAGAAGAAACTGCATTGAGTAGTTTTTTTACATATTAAGCATTGGACACGATTTGGACAATTTTGCTGTTACACCCAGTATATATAAATGTTCAATAGATAATTTATACAAAAACTGTCCAAATGTTTGTTTTTTTCGCGAGCGCTTTCGGCTATACATTTAGCCCTATTCAAGGTAGAAAAAAATTATAAGATCACATAAGAAATTATATAAAAATTTAATCAAATCACCTTGTCTGCCATATTTAATGAAACTTGCACATATATATATATATATATATATATATATATATATATATATATATATATATATAAATTTCTAAGAGTTAACCTGTAGAAGAAGACAATATTTATAAATGTAAAAGACAATAGGAAAACTGTATTATTAGCCGACGCGTTTCGTCATTTCGTTTTTTGCCTTGAAAAATTCCACATTGGACGAAATGCGTCGACTAATATTACAGTTGTACTATTATCTTTTACACACACACACACACACACACATATATATATATATATATATATATATATATATATATAAAGAAAGAACAGTAAGATATATAATCCGGTGTTCTTATAGATATTTTTATTATTACAAATGTCTTTAATTTAATTACAAAATTAAATTCGAAGCTTTTAGCTTCCATTTTTGAAACATTGTTAAAACTGTGTAGCGAAAAAAAACATATTTTAAATCAATTAATTTATAAATATATATATATATATATATATATAGAGAGAGAGAGAGAGATAGATAAGATAGATAGATAGATAGTGTCACAATACAGGTAAAACAGTTAGCACCTATTCTAATACTAGGAAGGGCAGGCAGAAATCACACAGAGCATATCAAAATTAATAAAGTCATAAATTGGGAATCCGTGAGCATCGAACTCACAACTAGCAATCAACTAAGCTAGTCCCGTTTCATCACCACAGAGCAGACCGTGAGCGTTCTCCTCTCACGGCTGTACTCTCAATGTGTAAAAACCACTGCTGCAACTAAAGCTCACTCCAAACTTCAAGTGGAATTCGAATCTGTCGCTAAAGATGTTGGAAAAATAGTCGGTTCTTCGTATCGCTCCAGAAATTATTTCTCTCCTTCTTGCAATCTAGTTCTTTAGAAGAATCATATCAAACCGAAAATGGAATAACTGGTCTCAAGTTGCCCGATCCTTACTTTCTAGCCTTTTACGCAGACTTGTTTGCGATTAATTATTTTCCATCCTACGACCCTTTTTCCCCCACACAGGAAACGTTGCTATCTTCATAGCAAATGTTCTAACGAGCTACATTCTTCAGTTCCACCTGTTCCGATATTTATAGCTAAGACCCGCCATGCCATGCACACATGGCTGACTCATCCGCATTCCCATCGCATACCATTGGTAAGGAAGAAGTTGTATCTTTTTTACATAGAAGTGTTACACTGTGAAACAGACTCCCGAGATGATGCTTTCCCTATCTTAACCTCTTTAAATCTACGGTCACCTGTTAACTATCGTAAGTATCCTCATAATCTGCACTTATTTCTCCCTCTTATGTCCAAAGAAAAACCTCATTTAGTGACCTCTACCTTGAGTGGCTGTTGGGCTTTGTAAAAAATGAAATTACTCTTTCTTTCCTCTTGCCTACAATTCTAACCTCTTGAAGTCTAGGGTCAATTGTTATCTAGCCTACATATCTTAATAACTTGCAATTCTTACTTCCTCCTTGTACATCCTTACATCCTTATGCAGTAACCCTCTACTTTGAGTAGCTGTTGAGCGAACAATGGTATAAAAGAAACAATACAAGCTCACACACGACGAGCGAACCAAGTGAAGACGACTTTGTTACCAAACGGACGGTCATCCCGTCTAATATGGAAATCTGTAGCGAAACGAACTTTTTTTTGCTTTTTTTTATTAATGCAATGATTCAATGTACAGTAGAAAATAAAGAAAAGAGAAAAATACTTGTTTACATGAAATACACAAGACAATCACATCATGGCTGACCGAAAAACAATTACTACAAATTAGATTTTGTTAATCTCTCGAAAACAATTATTTTTCTTTTTTTTTTTATTCCCTCCTTTTATTTTGTTTCATTGTTTATTTACTTTTTTCTTTTACTCTTTAGTACCTGTTCCTCTGACACAATAAAATTCCACGATTCGCTCGTAATCGATCGAAGTAGAATGTAATTTGTATCCAATCGAATTTGTTCATATTACTATCAACTTAATCTAAAATTGTATTTTCTAATCAGTAATGAATTTATCGATTTGAGCATAGGATGGGAATAATAGAATTTAGAACTGAGAATAAAAGTTCCCATGTAAAACAAAATGTTTCCCTTACTGTAGAGTATTAGAATATGTTAGCCACAGCTTTAGTGTCTGCTCGTCACTGGTCACGGTTACTTAACATGACCTTGTACCAAGATTTTTCCTTGTCCAAAAAAAGTGTTTTGCAGATAAAACGTGTAAATGTTCTTTGTGTGACAGTGAGCATGCAGTGTATTTTATGTTTGGAATATTTTAGAACATGCGTATGAAAATGATCGAATGCATGGCGGTTGTCCTAAGAGATATTTTTGGCACAGAAAGTCAGGTTCTTAAAATAACGAACAGATGAAATCTTTCAGAAAAATTTTGGAAAACAAAGATTAAAGAAAGAAAGAAAGAAAGAAAGAAATAGGAAGAGGGGGAGTGAGATGGAGAAGTAGAAAGTAAGATGGAAAACTAATAGGAAATAGTGATGAAAGGAGCGAGATGGAGAAGTAGAGAGTTAGAGGGAAGGCTAAGACGAAATTGGAAGGAAGAGAGTGAGATGACTAAGTTAGTCGGAAGGTTAAGAGGAAACTGATGGTGGGGGGAGATAGTGAGGTGACGAAGTAGAGAGTAAAAAAAAAGAAGGCGAAGAAGAAATAGGGAGAAAAGGAGTGAGATATAAAAGTAGACAGTTAAATAGAAAACCAAAAGGAAATAGATTGAAGAGAGTGAGAAAACAAAGTAGAGAGTAAGATTAGAGAGTTAAAAGGAAATAGGGAAGAAAAACGTGAAATTCTGAACTAGATTATTAGATGGAATACTTAGAGGAAATAGGGATAAAAGGGGGGAAATTGAGAAGTAGAGAATTAGATGGAATACTAAGAGGAAATTGGGAAAAAAAGAGTGAGATATAGCAGAGAGTAAGATGGAATACTAAGATGGAAATAAGGAGACAGAGTGTAAGACAGACAGAGTGATATTAGACTTTGGCGTACTGAACAGGAAAGAATAGCCACACGGTGAAACCAAAAGAAAAACTAGAAAGAGGGAAGAATTTCAGGATCTTTAAAATTAGATTTTTCACTGTAAAAATAGATAACGCCAGAGAGAAACTAAAATTTCTTAATGAAAGACAACAAATAAATAAATCATTATCGAGGCGTAAGGAAAGGAAAGGCTTAAGAAGAGAATTATTTATGGCAAAATTATTCAACAACATAATGAAAATTTCTAATGAAGCTAATTAATCCTCTTTCCCATGTGAAAATTTGAGCATCGCAAGACAAGTTTTCAGTCGAATAGTACAAATGTACGCGCGGAAACACAGACACACACATAGAAACACAGACACACACATAGAAACACAGACACACAAAGGCTAGTAGAGAAAAGTTGTTCCGATTATCTGAGTAAGTTTTTTGTGTGTAAGGGCTTCTTGTCTGGTCTGTTAACGACCTTGCGCGTGTATATATATATATATATATATATATATATAATAAAAAGGCTTAAACGCTATATTAGCGTTTAAACCTTTTTATTATATCCTTACTCTATCCTGGACATTCGGTTCTACCTGGATTCTATCCTCTTGGAATATATTTTTTTTTATACAAATATATAT